CAGCTAATTGTTTATATACCTACTACTTATTAAAGTATGCATTTGGAAGTGTTAGCCTATTCACTCTTGCTTTTCAAGTAGCACCAGTGACAAACTAGGAAAAGCACAGAGTGTCTAGGAAGCTGTAGATTTCCTATGACCTCACTTTTCTTTCTGATTCAGTTCTGAAATAGAAAAAAACTTACTGTGTAGAATTACTGCATTAGAGAAGCAGTTTTCCTGAAATTAGAAGAGGATCGGTAAAATAACATCAGCATTATTCTTAATTCTGTAACTTTTTTTTAATTCATGAGGTTACTGGACTAAACTGGCTTAAGCATATCTCACTGTAGATATCAGTCTGTAACCAATGACTGGGATGAAATCCTAGGAGTCAGTTTTTAAAAAATATTATTTGTAGCCTTTATTCAGAAAAAAAAAAGGACAGGGAATGGTGGCGTGTGCCTGTAATCCCAGCTCTTAGGAGGCTGTAAACAGGCAGATCACTACGAGTCCAATCTAGTAGTGAGACTCTGAACACCCTGTAGACCCTTCCCTAAAAGAAAATAAAATTTTTTAAAGTATAAAATGGAAAATAAGAGATCAACATGAATATAAATAGGAATAAATGTTTCACTAGAAATTTCAATTTATGTTTGGGGGATGTTAAAGTCTTGTTCTTTTTTCTTATTTTGTGTGTGATCATGTGTGCAGATCCTGATAACCCATTAATTTTCCCCCACTTATCATCTGAAAACCTCATAAAGTCAACGTACATACTTGGCTCATGAAGCCGAGCTATGCAACACCAGTAGGGTCTTTGTGTACCAAGGGGAAGTTAAAGCTTTGCACAGCTAAATAAATTCTCTTCCATATCTGTGAGGATTTGTAGAATACAATTCAGAGTCACCCCTGATAGTAGTTCATGAACAAAAAACAGTGCAATTGTTGGGGGGAAAGAATGGAAACGTTTTCATATTCAGGTGCCTGTGGGTTCAGCCTGACTTTTCTACTATTCCTGAGTTAATATTCTTTTTAAAATTGTACTGTAGATTTGGATGAACATTACCCTACACCAATAGGAGATAAGAGATTAGATTTAATACTAGCAATAAGCTCCTCTGATAACTTTTGAAAAACACTTGATTTAGCATATTTATTTAAATAATTATTTGGAGCCTGTTGTGGTACCCTCCTATAATCCTAGCACTTGGGAAGCTGAGGCAAGAGAACTGCTAAGAGTTTGAGGCCAGCCAGGACTATATAGTCAGACCCTGTTTCAAAAAATAAAATTATTTGGAGCTTGAAAAAAAAAAACAGCTGAATAAAACTGATACCAGAACATACAAACAAACAAACAGAGACCCAACTACCTACTTAGTGCCATGCTTCTCTCTTTCTTTGGGCGCCTCCCCTAACACGAGGACAACAGGACAAGCTGGACTCTCCCTGTGGCCACGCTGACCACACTCCCATCCTGACACCCTTTTGTCTGCACTTCGCTGGGCCCCAGGCTTTTCCTCTCCCCGTGGCCACTGTCTCCTACATCCTGGCCTGTGAAGTCATCATTAGCCACAGGACCTCTGGCCACACTGACTCACTGAGGCTACTAGATGCTTTTCCTTCTCCAAGTCCTCTTTCCTAGGTCATTTATCTTTCTTTGCTCTGCATCCTAAGGTGGTCAGTTTCATTCAGGGGGCTTTCCATATGCAATTCTTAATCTTCTGAACCTGGTAACAACACATTCTTCAAGCACAAGAGAACTAGTGACACAGGAAGGTTTTTGTCACTGACATCCACATGACACTGCGTTCTACATGCACAAGGCATTCCCTAATTAGGCTCTCATACTGTCGCCTATAGATGCTCCTGGCCACATTACTCAAAGCTGCGAAGTGAAAATAGCCCAGTCGCCCATCAGCTGAGTCGATGCGGTCCACCCACACCAGGGAGCAGGAATGAAGCTCTAACATGCTACAACATGGATGACCTTGTAAAGATGCTGCTGAAAGAAGCCACACACAGAAGGCCACAGGTCATGGGATACCACTTACATGAAAAGCCCAAGCAAAGAAATCTACACAAAAAGTGGACGAGGGCTGCCAGGGTAAGGAAGTACAGGATGAGGACAGAGACAATGGAATAAGGGCTCCAAGTACACAATGTACGAAGGAAGGGTCTCTGGGGTGGTGGGAAATGTTCTCAAGTGGAAAACTTCAAAGTTGTGATGAATGAACTGTAAGAATCTAACTACAGGAAGAAACCAAGTTTAGATCAAGGAAAACAAGACCCTGAAGGAATGAAAAAAGAGATGCTGACCTTTAGGGGGAAGGCATGCAGTAAGGTGTGAACTGCTATTTGCCACTGCGCCAACCTCTGTTACTCAAGACATCCCACTGGCTGTGGCAGGCACACGGTCAGGGGACTGAAGAGGGTAATGCCAGCCAGTTCTGCTCCTGCACTTCAAGTTCAACCCTGGGGAGAACTTTAAAGAACCAGACCTGCAACCCACATGAGAGAGAGGCTGAAGAGCAGCTGTGCCTCATCCCTTGGAGGAGGGGACTGCTTTGGATAGGCCAGCACACAGTGCAAGCTTCCCTGCTCTCAGGGGGAGCCAGAGGAAGCATCCAGGCTGCAGAGAAGAAAGCCCTCCACTGGGTGTTGAGGTGCACAGGGCTCCCTTGGCCCCAGGTGTGGGAGGACTGGGGTGACCAAACCAGCACGTTCACCTGCACGGCAGGGCAGCTGTCTTCAGCGGTGCCACAGCCACAGACTCCTGCCTTTTTGCAGACTACTGGCGCTCAGAAGTGGTTTTCACTTCTTTACCAAGAGGGCTCCTTCTAGTCTTTTCTCCTTATTCTCTCTAAACAACGCTCTGCTTCGAGTTACTCCCGGACAGTACACTTCCTAACCTGGCATCAGAATTCACCGTAGGGTGCATGTGTACTACTAATTTTGAATTTCCATTTGTGAGTTTTACAGTCTCTTTACCATTTCAAAAGAAAACTCTGTGCTTAGATTTACTAAAAATGGGCTAGGCTGGGTGGCTTCTCTACTTACCCTTCCCTCCGAGTCCTGAGGAGGACATGGCAGCCAGAGGGAAGACAGCCCACCTCAGCCCCTGGAGCAGCAGTGGGCAGGGTGACATGGCCTGCAGACTCCCATCCAAACCAGGCCCAGAACCCACAGAACTAAGGAAGATGACCACAGAAGCACTGCCCACTTGAGTACTATACTTACTGCAGCAGATGACCTACTAGTCAGCAGATGGCAGAGTCTCTTTCTCAGCAGCTTGTAAAGAGAGGAAGCCTCTTCCCATGGTCCTCCTCTCTGCTCCAAGTGTCATACTCAGGTGGGGTCACCACAGCCCAACCTGTTCTTGCTGAGGCCCCCTTGGAATCTTGGAACACGCTATACTCTGGGATCTCACCAACCACCTTCTCTACCTGACAGGGCAGGGAGTGCTCCCTTAGACCCTGCTGCTATGGTTTATGTCCCCAAAACTTGTCCCCCCAAAGCCTCATGCAGTCACGGGGCAGCCTGTAGAGTTAGTGCTCGACACATGGCCCAATGCTGGGATTATGGGTGTGAGTGCTACATCCACCCTGGGGTGGGCGGCCCGCATACAATGTCAGGGTGGGACAGAGGCTTCTCCTGCTGCCCCTCCCTTTTTGCTCTTGCTGTTTGCTGTTTTCCACTGCCATGAACTGCTGCCCTCTGCCACCCTGCCTTAGATCCAGCCAAGTATGGACTGAAACTTCCACTCACTGGACACCTTTCCTTTCTGTATTTATTTTTTTTTTAAGATGTTTGGGAATATACTTTATTAAATCACAATTGTATGAAGGTGTCAATTTGCTCATTCTAGAAGGAACAGAGAAACCACTAGTAAAATAAATTCACTAGGGGCCGGGGAGCTGACTCAGTGGAATAAGCACTTGCCTGGCAAGCGTAGTGGCCTGAGTTCAATCCCTGGTTCCGCAAATAAATAAATTAATTAATTAAATAAATTCACTAGTTTGTCAATTTGTTCGTATCGTAATGCAGCATAAATTCAGTAATGAGTTTTCTCTAACAAGCTATTAGGCTCTGGGTACTGAGGAATAAAAAGACATGCTCTCTGACATTGTGCAATCCAAGTTATGCAGCTATTTGGTAAAAAAACAAATGAAATTTGGTAAGAAAGTTGGAAGCTATCAGTTGTTGTGCTACAAAACCAACCAAAGGACTTCTAGGAAAAATCACTGGAAAAGTCAGCATTCAGTTGTTGAAGAATTTAAGACGGAGCAAATATTACAAAGGAACATTGAAGAAGCACGGCCAAGCACAGGAAAATGGACAGCAGCAAGCAGAATCATGGGTGCCCTTTTCGGGAGGACCACTGTTTGCATCTTTCTGTATTCCTTTCCGTATTTTGAGTGTCAGGTATTTTGTTTCAGCAACACGAAAAAAGTACCTAAAGCACCTGCTCACTTGGAGACAGCACCAGACTGGTGGGTGCCCTTCCTCCCAACCAC